CGCGGTCTTCAGTTTCTCTTGGTGCTTTCTGGTTGGAGTGGGGAGGCCTGCCCATTCTAAAAAGTCTTTGGTTTCTTGAATAGGTCTACAACTCTAAACCTTAACCCTTACTTCTTTTTTTTTTTCTTCTTTGAGGACAGACCCTTTTGCTCGTTGTGTGTCAGGCTGAGGGCGCATGGCACGATCCTCGGCTCACTGCAAGCCTGGCTCCGCCTCTCCCAGGTTCAGCAGTGATTTCGCTGCCCTCGGCTTTCAACGTAGCTGGGAATACAGGTGCCCACACCACACCGGCTAATTTTATGTATTTTTAGTAAAGAACGGGTTTTCACCACGTTGGTTCAGGAAACTGGTGGTCTGAAACCCTGGCCTCAATAGAGAGATTCTGCCCCACCTTGGCCTCCCCAGAAAAGTGTGGGGAAATTTATTTAGGCTGTGTGAGCCGACTGCATCCTGCCCAGCCATTTATTATTTAGTTTATTTATTTATTTATTTACTTTATTTATTCTGAGACAAAGTGTCGCTTTTGTTGGGCCCTGGCATGGGGGCGGGCCTCCTAAAGTGCTGGGATTACAGGCGTGAGCCCCCACACCCAGCCCCCATCTTTTTTTTTTAAATTAAACTAATCAAAAAGCATAAAAAGGCAAAAAAACAAACAAACAAAAAAATTGTCATTCTTAAGAGTCTTGAGTCTGGGGTCTAGGTTTCTATAATTCGAACATTCCAATATTCAGATGCTCTGTGGTACTATGCTGTTTCAAGGACTCGCAGATTTTATGCTTCTAAGGTGCCATGCTCAGGCTCCCCTGAATCAGTTCTTCAATCCCCACCCAGGATCCGGGCATCCCAGGTCAGCTTCCACCTTGGATTGGTCCTCCCTCCATCACACCGGGGATGCCCTCACCTCAGCGGGGGGCCGCAGTTGACCAGGGCGATGGTCTTGCTGATATAGGTGTCAGGTAGCATCTCCCGGACTCCTGGGTTCTCATGGAATCGCTCCACGCGCTGCTGGAAGCTGGTGGGAGGAACGGGGACAGATGGGGCGCTGCTGGGTCAGGGTTCCTGGCTGGGCACCCAGGCTGCCAAAGCCACCACCCCTGCGTTGGCACTCTACCTGTCCTCAGGTGACTCCCTCTCATCTCTCCTCTCTCTGTAGGATCCCAGGCCCCGATGCCCAACCCCAGCAGAGCTAACCCGTGCTCCCAGGTCCCCCTACCTCTGCAGGAACTCTGCCAGCCCCCCCAAGCAGCAGTGGGCCATCCGCTCCCCAAACTCCTGGCTGATGCGGGGCGCTCGCTCTGTGTGCTCTTCCAGCAGCTGCGAGGTCCAGGGCGACGAGAAGAGGTGAGGAGGGGGCAAGGTCTCACTTTCCCACGCCTGCGCCGTCCAGTCCATCCCCAAGCCTCCCTCCACCTCCTACCTCACACACATCCTGGGCCAGGCTGCTGTGCTGGTCCTCCAGGCTCCCCCAGTGCTCCTCGTCCTCCTGCAGCACTCGGAGAAGGGCGGCCCTGGTCTGAGCCTACAGTGGGGAGATGGGAGACAGGCAGGACTTGGGGGCTGCCTGGGGGTCTTTTTCTATCTCTCTTTCCCACCACAATCCCCTAGCCCTTAGCCCCAAGCAGTTCTGGTTTCTACCTGTGAGCTTGTCAAGGTGATGCTGGGGAGGGAGGCTGAGCCAGAAAACTTCCACAGCCCTTCCCACTCCTAACTCTGTGGTTTGGAACTTTATATCAAAAGTCTGTGGTTTGGCCGAGCGCAGTGGCTCATGCGCATAATCCCAGTACTTTGGGAGGCCTAGGTGGGCAGATCACCTAAGGTCAACAGTTCGAGACCAGACTGGCCAACATGCAGAAGCCCCATCTCTACTAAAAATACAAAATTAGCCGGGCGTGGTGGCGCGTGCCTATAATCCCAGCTACTTGGGAGGCTGATGCAAGAGAATCACTTGAACCCAGGAGGAGGAGGTTGCAGTGAGCCGAGTTCGTGCCACTGCACTCCAGCCTAGGCAACAAGAGCGAAACTCCATCTCAAAAAAAAAAAAAGACACATGTACATTAATATACATATACGTACAATAATGTACACGTGTATATTATTTACAATGTATATACATATTTATGTTAATATGTATACATCAATGATGTATATTTAATATTTATATTTAATATACATTAAATTAAATATATTTAATATAAATCTTACTATTACATAATACGTATTAAGTATTATTTATATTAAATATTGTTTTTCTTTAGAGGCCGCGTCTTGCTCTGTCCCCCAGGCTGGCGTGCAGTGGCACCATCATGGCTCACTGCAGCCTCACACTCCTGGAGTCAATCCTCCTGCCACAGATTCCTGAGTAGCTGAGGCTCCAGGCACATGCCACCACACCCAGCTAACTTTTTAAATGTTTCACAAAACAATTTTTGTTGTTGTTGTTGTTGAGACGGTGTCTCGCATTGTCACCCAGGCTGGAGTGCAGTGGCGCCATCTTGGCTCACTGCAACCTCCACCTCCCGGGTTCACGCCACTCTCCTGCCTCAGCCTCCCGAGTAGCTGGGACTACAGGCGCCCGCCACCACGCCTGGCTAATTTTTTGTATTTTTTGGGTAGAGACGGGGTTTCACCATGTTAGCCATGATGGTCTTGATCTCCTGACCTCGTCATCCCCCCACCTCGGCCTCCCAAAGTGCTGGGATTATAGGCGTGAGCCACCGCGCCCGGCCCAGTTCTGTGATTTTCTTGTACTCTAAGGTTTGAAGTGTCCAGATATACTGAACCTTTACTAAGTGTCTGTACAGGCGGCCTTTGTGTCTATGGCGTATGGACAGAACTCAGAAATTCATAAAGGGGAAAGGGAGCTGGAAAGAGTGAAAGGGGGAGGGGACAGGCCTCCCAAGCACACTGTGACCCCCTCCCTCCCTCCACAGCACCTCCCACTTCCAAAATGCAAAGTCCCAGGTACCTTAACATCTGTGACGCATTCATCCTCCAAACCCCGCAGGGTGCCAGGGGACAAAAGGGGCCCCAGCTCCCCATTCTCCAGGGCAGCCATGTCCACCAACCCTAAGACCTCTCTGGGGATGGGGGTGAGAGAAAAGGAGGTCTGTGAAAAGTGGGGCTGGGCAGTTGGACCCTTCCCTATACCCTCCTACCCACTGTTTCTGTGACCCTAGGCCACTCCCTTCCTCTCTCTAAGTCAGCTCTGCTCATCCCTCAGAGGAAGTCTTTGGAATTGTTGCTTCCCCGGCTCCAGCTCTCTGAGTCAGCTCCCTGATGGATGGTGTCCGGGCATGATATTTAAGGGTCAAGTCCAGGCTTGAAGATCTGACACGCAAGGCTTCACCCATGATCCATTTCACCAGACAGAAGTTCCCTTTGCGCCTATGCTCTGAAGCCCTGCTCCCTTACCTGGCCTTGCAGGCTTCCCCAGTCCAGCCCTTGCTCCCCACCTTCTACTTGCTTACATGCCTGGAGCTATGTGATATCATCAATATCCACCCCCATATACCCCAGACTTGGGCTCACGGCATCCTCTCAATTATAAACACCATCTCCCTACAAATTGGACCAAACCCAGTTCCCAGCACTTTAGGAAGCTTTCTGGACTCCCTATCCTGCCTCCATCCCTTATAGATAACATGAGAGCATTATCAACATACATTCCCAAATGAGATCTTCCCAGTCTTCTGGTGACGGCACCCTGATTTTGTTGGAAGAAACACCCACCCCCTTCACTGCCCAAGGTGTGGCTTGGATGTGGCTAACTCCCTTTTCTCTGGGGTAGACAGGTGACCTGGAGGTAGCTAATCACCATATTCCATCCCCCGGCCACAAGAATGGGTATGTTTTAGGACACAAAGTCTCAAGAGTAGTAAGATTCTAGGACTGGGAGGGACCATGGTACTGAGGTTCTGGGGGCTACCCGTATAGAATTCAAGGGGTGAACAGCACTTAAGTCCTAAAACTGGGCCAGGTGTGGTGGCTCACACCTGTAATCGAAGCACTTTGGGAGGCCAAGGTGGATGGATCACTTAAGGTCAGGAGTTCGAGACCAGCCTGGCCAACATGGTAAAAGCCCGCCTCTACTAAAAATACAAAAAAATTAGGCTGGACATGGTGGCTCGTAATCCCACGGTTGGCATGTAATCCCAACACTTTGGGAGTTCGAGTCAAGTGGATCACCTGAGGTTAGGAGTTCAAGACCAGCCTGGCCAACATGGTGAAACCCCATCTCTACTAAAAATACAGAAATTAGCTGTGCATGGTGGTGGGTGCCTATATAAATCCCAGCTACTTGGGAGGCTGAGGCAGGAGAATTGCTTGAACCCGGAAGGCGGAGGTTGCGGTGGGCGGAGATGATAGCACTGCACTCCAGCTTGGGCAACAGAGCAAGACTCCGTCTCAAAAATAAATAAATAAATAAATAAATAAATAAATAAAGTCCTAAAACTAGAAGGATCAACAGTGTTGAGGTTCTAAGACCGAAAGAGGGAATGAGGCTAAGGTTTACGATTCAAAGGTTCATTGGTACTAAGTTTCTATGGTTGAGTCATCAATTCTAAGATTGGAAACGTCAACACTACTACTGACCTAGGCTCTAAAGAGAGAGCAGTGCAGGATTCTAGAATTCTAAGTGTCATTGTATTAAGGTTAAGGGTCAGTGGGGCTATGGTTCTAGGAAGGAATGGTCAACAGTGCTAAAACTCTAGGACTCAAAGTGTGAACAGCTAAGATTCCAGTAGCGTGTCATGAAGCCCAGGTTCTTGGACTGGTGCGCCCACGGTGCTGAGCTACTAGGATTGAAACTGTTGATAGTGCTACAATTGTAGAACTTGAAGACTCAATGGTGCCAATAGGTTCTAGGTCTGAAAGGGTGGGAATGCTAGGATTCTAAGACTGGAAGCATCGGTGTTACTTAGGTGCTAGGAGTGTAACTGTCCGATGATGCTAAGGTTGTATGTAGGTCTAGAAGAATGAATGGTGTTGAGATTTTAGGAACGGAAACGTAGACACGCGAAGGTTCTAGGACTGGAGGAATCAACGGTGCTAAGATTCGGGGACTGGAAGGGTGGACAGTGAGGCGATCTAGAGTGTAAATGTTGACAGAGCGCTGAGGTTCTTGGACAACAGTGGTGCCGGAGCTCTTCTAGGACTGCAAGGGTTCGTGGCAGTCAGGTGCTGGAACCGGAAGCCTGGGTAGCAATTCGATTCTAGGATTATAACTGTCGGCGGTGCTGACGACTGGATGGGTCAATGGTGTTAAGTGCTAGGACTGTAAGGTCAGCTGTCCCAAGGTCCTTAATGTCTGAAGAGGCCAGTGCTGGGGGTTGGGGCTGGGGGTTTCACGCGACCTTGGGCAACTGAGCCCAGCTCACCTGGGGTAGACCTGATTGTGCCAGTGCAGCAGCGCGTAGCGGTCGGCCAGCGGCAGCCTGCGACGGGCAGAGGCCCCCAGCCACTCGGCCAGGGCCCCGTGGTAGCCGCGCAGGTAGACGCCGAAGGCGCCCAGGCCGGCGGGGTAGGCGGGGGCCAGGCGGCCCCGCACAACGGCCATATCCTCCAGCAACCGCGCCCGCAGCGCCTCCAGCTGCCCGGCCAGACCTCCGGGCGCCCCGGGAGCCGCCGCCTCTAGGCGCTCCCGGGCCGCGCGCGCCACAGCTTCGGCCCAGCGGGCGCGCAGCTTGCGGGCCGCCCCGGGCCCCCGACGCCCATCCGCCGCCTCCTCCTGCACCAGCACCTGGCCCAGCTGCGCCACAGCGCCTGCCCCGGCGCACGCGCCCGGCCCGGGGCCCGCCAGCGTCTCGCGCACCAGCGCCCACAGCTCACGCTGCAGGGCCTCGTACAGCAGCGCCACGTCCCGCGCCCGGCGGCCCCCGCCAGCGCCCTCGGCCTTGGGAGGCCCAGGTGCGCCGCCCCCCGACGGCGCCAGCTCCTCGGCCTCCAGCTCCAGGATGTGCTCGTCCGCGCGCGCTAGTTCGCGCTGCTGGATCAGGCTCAGGATCTCCAGCACTGCAGGGGGGAAGGCGTGGGAGGTCAGCCAGTCCGGGGGGGGGGGGGGGGGGGAATTGGGTGGGAATGGGGGCAATGCGGACGCAGGGGTAGGGGGGGTGCTTAGGAAGGGAAGGGAGATGACGGGAAGAGGGTTACAGGAGGCGGGAAGGTGTTGGGGGCAGAGAAGAGCCCGGAGAAGAGCAAGAAAGAAGGGTGTTGGGTAAAGGATGTAGGGGAGGGGACAGGGTGAGAGGCTCATGCTTGTAATCCCAGCACTTTGGGAGGCCGAGGCTGGCGGATCACTTGAGGTCAGGAGTTCAAGACCAGACTGGCCAACACGGCGAAACCTCGTCTCTACTAAAAATACAAAAATTAGTAGGGCGTAGTGGCATACCCCTATAATATCAGCTACTCGGGAGGGCGCGGCAGGAGAATCGCTTGAACCCGGAAGGCGGATGTTGCAGGGCACCGAGATTGCGCCACTGCACTCCAGCCTGGGCAACATGTTGAGTGAGACTCCATCTCAAAAATAAATTAATTAAAACTTAAAAAAGAGAGAGAGAGAAAAGAAAAATGCCTGTGACTGAGGAAGGGATCTCGGGAGGTTGCGGGATGGAGAAATGGAGGAGGGGTCGGAGGAGGCGAGAGGGTTGAGAGAGGAGCCAGGTAAGGGGGAGAGGGATGGAGGCAGCGGTGGGAGCAGGAGGGGCAGGGTGGGGGCTTGGAGATGAGGAGAGGATATGGGACCACTGATGGGGTCTTTTTGGGGTGGGGATGGCTGTGGGGTGATCTGGCCCTCTGATGAGTTCAGACTGCCTCAAGAAAGGGGAGTCGTGGGGCTGGAAGGCCTCTGAGGCTGAAGGAGGGTCCTGGCAGCCCAGGGTTACCCTCGACACCTCCACCCCCCTCCACTTCCTCCCTGGCAGAGAAACTATTTCCTGGCCAGCGCTATTTCTGCCCATCCGTTTCCAGAAGGCGGGGCTCTAGTCACCCCCTCCTCACCTCCCTCCAGTGCCCTCCCAGTCCCCAGGGAGCTGGGGCTGAAATAGCCTCTGGCCAGAACGCGGAGGGCATCAGAGGACAGAAAAGGCTCTCCTGAGTCCCCAACCCTGGAGCAGCTCAGGCCTCAGGGCTAAAAGCAGAGCTCAGGCACAGGAGCAGAGATAGAGGCAGGGTTGGGGATGGCAGTGAATTAAGATGGGGATTGGGACAAGGATGGGGATGGGGCTGGAGGTGAGGATGGGGGGAAGGTGGGGGTGGGGATGAGGGAGTTTAGGGTTAGGATTAAGTCGGGTGGGAGTCTGGACAGAAATGGGAAAGGAGGGAAGAATGACATTGGGATCTGGGTAAGGATGAGGTTGGAAAGGTGGGGGAGGGGAGTGTAAGTGAAAGCTGAGGATAGAAAGGACGTAAAGATTGATGTGAAGGCCGGGCACGGTGGCTCACGCCTGTAATCCTAGCACTTTGGGAGTTGGGCAGATCACCTGAGGTCAGGAGTTCGAGACCAGCCTGAGCAATATGGTGAAACGTCATCTCTACTAAAAATACAAAAATTAGCCGGGCATGGTGGTGTGTGCCTGTAGTCCCAGCTACTCAGGAGACTGAGACAGGAGAATTGCTTGAACCGGGGCGGCGAAGGTTGCAGTGAGCTGAGATCTCGCCATTGCACTCCAGCCTGGATGACAGAGCTAGACTCCGTCGCAAAAAAAAAAAAAAAAAAAAAAATTGATGTGAGTTTGAAGATGAATTCTGGAAGTGAGTTGGGCTTGGGAATAGGAACGTGAATGGAATTGAAGATGGAGGGGTTGGGGATGAGGGTTTAGGATTGGGACTCAGGATAGGGGTGAAGATAGATTAGGGATGAAGAGGAGGTTGAGTTTGGAGTTGGAGTTGAAACTGGGGGCTGAGGAAGGACTAGGATATCAAGTAGGACTGAATAAGGAGGTTGCTGGTCAGGGGTAGTGGCTCATGCCTGTAATCCCAGCACTTTGGGAGGCTGAGGCAGGTGGATCACCTGCAATGAGGAGTTCGAGACCAGTCTGGCTAACATGGCAAAACCCCATCTCTACTAAAAATACAGAAAAAAATTTTAGCCAGGCATGGATGGTAATCCCAGCTACTCGGGAGGTTGAGACAGAATTGCTTGAACCGGGGAAGTGGAGGTTGCAGTGAGCCGAGATTATACCATTGCACTCCAGCTGGGCAACAGAGTGAGACCCCATCTCAAAGGAAAAAAAAAAAAAGGAGGTTGCGGGAGGGAAATGGGTGGAAGGTGGGTGCTGAGAGGGGCCTGGGGCTGGGGGTTAAGAGTGAGACCAAAAGAGTGTAAAAGGGTTGAAGGTGAACATGGGGAAGAATGGGATATGAAACGGGACTGGACCAGCTGGGGGTTGCCATGGTGTTGGACATAGACATTGATATTAAAGATGGTGTTTGGGGCCAGGCGTGGTGGCTCATGCTTGCAATTCCAGCACTTTGGGAGGC